GTCTTTGCCTGTGTGGTTCCGCCTGCCTGGGGCACTGTCCTGACTTTGCCTAGAGAATTCTTGTTATCCCAGATCATGGCTTGGACCAGACAGTCTGGTTTTGAAGGGCAGGTGTGTGAACTCTCTCCTCTCCCATCCATCTCTGGTTAATGTTAGCTCTTCAAGGAAGCCCACCCCAACATCTGAGGTGGAAATGATTCTACTGAGGTCATCTCCTCCCCCTCAGAGCCTGTGTCTCAATGCATAGTTCAGTGTGGACACCATGTAACCAATTTAGATCTGGTCCCCATCCTCTAAGCTTACCAGAGAGGCAGGGACAGGTCTATCTTGCTCCCTGCCGCTTCCCCTGAACCAAACTTTGTGCTACCCAGACATAAAGCCAGGAGCCACTTAGGGGACATGTGTGGACCACTGGTGCACACTGGATAAAAATGTTACCATTAGGTCCTCTTTAGCCACATGGCTTTCCGGATGAAGCACAAAAGCAGCACAGTCCCATCCATGAAAGAGTCTATAGCTTCAAATGAGGAAGATGAAGCTGCCAGAAATACTTGACAGAAAACCAGAAGCTGTTTAACCCATGCCCTTGGGCTTCTCCCACTTTGATAATTATTTTGGCAAAGGGAAGCAACTAACCAGATTTAACTTTTCATTCAGGGTGTCAGGGTACAAGCGCACTATCAACAGCAGAGGTGTTCTTGGCATTTCCAGCATGGCTTCAGAGCATTGCAGGGCATTGGTATCCCTGGCACCTTCCTCACATGCAGCTGTTAAATCCCTGAGTGTCCCTCAAATCTGTGATGTCAGAGGTGCTTAAAGTGCTTTTGCAGAGACCCTTCTTGGAATCTCGAATTAACTAAAGCATGGCACTTCTCCATTCTCTCTACAGTCACCCTGCAACCACCTTGGAATCAAGAAAGGACAGGAGGACTGGGTGTGTGGCTCAAGTGGTAGAGTGCCTGCCTAGCAAGAAAGGACAGGAATGGTCAATGACAAGGGATTGAAGCTACTACTCCCAACAGTAGACCCTCCTCTTGACCACCCTCTAGATAACTCTAGAACCTCTCCCAGAATAAAGGCTGACATAATGACCAGCCATGACTGGGACTGTTTAGCTATACATACATTTGTTCCCTGCCCCCAGTTCTTTCTTCTACTTAAAACTGTAGCTCATGTCTGTACCCTGAAGATGGCTGAAGATGAGCTGAGTGCTTCCTCTGCCTCTTCCCATGGCATGTCCCAAGTCGTATAATAAATTTCCTTCCTCTGCCTTCACCATGTCTCATTATCTGTGGCCAGATCTGACATATGGAATCTCAGGAGTTTGGTCCTTAAGTCCAAAACTCCAGTTTCAATGACACCTTCCAATAGGGTAGTTACTGGACTGAGTGGTTTTAAGACATTAGTCCAGAGGATTCTGGACTAATAGAGAAATGGACAGACACACAAATTGCAAAAGAGTAGCGAAACTTTATTGAAAGAACAAGGGAAAAGCACTGCCAGAGGAGCAGTAGACTTGCCAGATGGCATGGAAGCATTGATTTAAGTTCAATTTATAAATTGTAGGGGGGTGGAAATCTGGGGTTAGGGTGGCTGGCAGGTTTAATTAACACAGCTTATCATATAACATGGGGTATCTTACACATGTGCTTATGCTAGTTTTCAGGTCTTTGTGTGTATGATATGCAATCAGTATAAGATCCTAAGTACAGGACTTGGCCTGGGAAGTCAAGTTGGAGGCAGATGATCTTTACTAAGAAAGTTAGACCCATACATGCCTCTTTGGTTGGAGGCTGTCTTGCAAAGATATTTACTGCCAGGGTATTTACAACTTAGAGGGGATTTATTACTCTACAGGTGGCTCAAGGCCATCCTGGGGGATATCTGTCTGCTTGGAGAGAGGCAGGAATCAGGAAGATCAAGGTTTTAAGCCAGCCCATGGCAAATAGTTCTAGAAAAAAAAAATCACAAAAAAGGGCTGGTGGGGTGGCTCAAGCAGTAAGAGTGCCTGGTTAGCAAGTGTGAGGCTGAGTTCAAGCTCCATGCTGCCAAAAAAACACCACAAAGACAGCACTATATAAGTGTTAAAAGCAAAATTGCCTTTACAATCACAAATTGCAAGAATGTTTTAAAACTACTTAATATGACAATGTCATCTTTCTATAAGAGATAATATGGACTGGGGAGTAGAAACTATTTTTGAATCAGGGTCTCACTATGTAGCCCAGGCTGGCCTCAAACTCAAGATCCTCCTACCTTAGCCTCCCCTCCTGGGATTAGAAGTTTGCACTGCCACACTCATTTTGAAACTTTTCAAAATAATCCTTGGAGACATTCATTTACATCCTGTTCAGATTCATATTAGAGCCCTGGACATGGTGGCACACACCTGTAATTCCAACACTCAGGAGACTGAGACAGAAAGATCACTAGGCTACAGTAAGTCAAACAACCCAAAAGATTCATATTAAAAAAAAAAAAATAGGGCGTGCCAGGCATCGGTGGCTCACACCTGTAATCCTAGCTACTCAGGAGGCAGAGATCAGGAAGACCAAGGTTTGAAGCCAGCCCACGCAAATAGTTTGAGAGACTGTATCTCAAAAAAAAAAAAAAAAAAAAATCATAAAAAAAAGGGCTGGTGGAGTGGCTCAACGTGAAGGCCCTGAGTTCAAGCCCCAGCAACACACACACACACGCACACACACACAGAAAATAGGGCAAGAGGCATGATTCAAGTGTTAGAGTGCTTGCCCAGCAAGGGCAAGGCCCTGAGTTTAAATGCCAGTACCATAAAAAAGAAAAAATCACCAATGGGGTGGAGTGTAGCTCAGTGGTATTATACTTAGTATGTGCAGGGCTGAGTGTAATTCCCCCTCCCATCATTAAAAATTCACTGAGCACTAAAGTAGGAACAGGACAACATAAGAGTGTGGGTGGCATTGCAGACACAGCTCCTAGGCTGGCCTTTCACAGTGCAGGTGGGGAGGGGAAAGGGAAAGGGAGGAGTACGGTTCATTGATGTGGGTTATCCCAGAGCCCTGGCTGACGCTGCCACCTGGGCAAGTCCCTTTCTATGATTATCTGTCTAATTTGTATTTATTTATGGGATACAGTAGTATAATTCATGTATGGTGAATTTTTTTAGTGGTGCTGGGGATTGAACCCAGGGCCTCAAGAATGCTAATCAAGCAAGTGCTCTACTGCTGAACTACATCTCCAGACCACCTGAGGGTACTTAGCATCCCCATCTCAGATATTATTTCTACCTTTCTATAATATTTTCCCCTATAAGTCTTGTGCTGAGTCAGTCCAACATTTTGATTTGCTGATTTGAGGAACCCCCAGGGTTAACACTGTGGACTCCTCGGCACCCCAGATCCTTAAAGAAGCAAAGAATACCCCTGTACCTTTGGACACATGCTCCAGAGGGCGTGACTTACCCCCTACTACCCTGCAGCTAAGTATACCTCAAAGTCAAGGGGGAGCTGGTGAGGTAGCCCAGCCCCACTCCTTGTCAGCTGACCACAGCCCAGTCATGAAGGACATCCAGTCCTCCTTTGGCTTCCCTTTCCAGTCAGGAAGAATGAAGATCAGTAGGGGGTGGGGGAGTGTCAAAATTTAGGCATTTGGGGCCAAAGTAATGCTCTCTCCTATCTCTCCTCATCTCATCAAAGTCATAGGGGCTGGAGCTGAGCAAAGACTCTGTGAGAGAGATCACCATGAAGTCACAGCCAAGGCTTACTCAGAGGAGACAAAGGGACTGTACCCTCTGGGAGACCTTGAGAGCACACCCTACACCTCATGGCCCCACTCTGCCCTTTCCAAAATGAGCACCTCAAGGAGAAAACCCGGTCACTAGTTCAGAAACAGGCCGGGCAGGGGCGGATTCCAAACACCTTGTGGGGCACCATGTGGTCTAGCCTGGCTGCCAACTGTTTTGCCTTAGGACATTTTCTCCCCCATGACTTGGTATGATTTCCTCTTTGGAGTGGGTCATTAACTTTACTAAGAGCCTTTGCTTTGGACTCACAGGAACTATGACTGGTTGAGGCTGGAAATGTGGAGGCATTTCCTGCTGGGCTGGAACTCTCAGCTTCCCCAGGGGGGTTGAGAGCCCAGTCATGGCCCTGCCAGGGTTACTAGGCAGAGACTGGGCATGGTTCCATCCTCTCCACAGACTTCCACATACCTAGCTGGGCAAATCAGGTGACAGAGGCCCGGATGTGGTTGATGAGGGTGGGGGAGGATGGCAGGGAACTACTCTCAGGAGGATAGAGGCTGTTGTAGGTTTACCCACTCAGCAAGATATCAACACCCTCCAGGCTGGAAAACACCTGTGGTGGGCAGTGGGGTCTGCAGCCTTGGCACCTGCCTGGACCTAGGTCCTGAGCCCACTAGTCTTAGATCTGAGGTAGGCTTGGGTTCCTTCGTATTAAATTTGCAGCACTGGATTAAACTAGAATTTAGACAGACCACCCCTACACTCTACTCTGTACAATGCTACCTCTCAGTCTGGCCACCTGGGGAAGGAGGAGGCTGAATGAAGCCATTTGGTCCACGCCTTTGTCTAGTCCTCAGCCCTTAAGACCTTTGGGGACTGGCCCTCAGTGGCAAATGACAAGGACAGGCCTGAAAACCAAGGCCAGAGGCCTCTGCTAGGGTGGAAGATGGGTGGTAGGCTGATCATTCAGAGCTCAGATCTCTCCTCTGAAGGCCCCTGGACTGTCTTTCATCCTTAGGCGAACTCCAGCCTGGTTCAAGGCCTCCTGTGACTGTGTCAAGGAAGGGGTCAGCCTACTTGGAGTTTCTGGAATCAGCTGACAGGTGCCACAGGTGGTATCCAAGCATGGAAGCTGGCATGGAAGCAGGTAGGCCACCCACCCTTTACACAAGGTCCAGGGGACCATGTAGGGCTCCCCCCCCCTCCCTGGCAACCCCTGCCCGGCCAGTGCTTAAGAGTCCAGCTTTATTGGCTGCCACTTTGAGCTGGCACACACTGCCTAGGCCTCGGGGCACTGCTTGAGCATGACCGAGGCACCGCTGCTGACCATGACTGCGGGGTAGAGTGGCTCCAGGAAGGAGGCGAGAAAATGGTAGAGGAGGCTCACACCCCCAGCCAAGCCATAGAAGGACAGGCAGCCAGCACCACAGTCGAGGGCCACACCCAGTGTGCGGTGGTAGGCGCCATGCAGCACAGTCTGAGTGTTGTTGTGCCACACCGAGAACTTGAGCGAGTCCCACTCCAGGCACCACGAGTAGGGGTTGCGGCCCAGCAGGTAGACAATGTTGCGACACTGACGGCTGCTGAGTGGGGGGTTGCGGCGGTAGGTGACACCCAGGCACATCCATGAATTAGACACCTCGGCCTCCCAGTAATGGCGGCCCTCAGACAAGCCTCGGGAACACAGCACCTGTGGCCACTGCTTGAAGCCCTGTATGGGGCCATTGGAAGCCGAGGGCTCCAGGAGGATACCCAAGTTCAGTACCGAGTGGGTCTCCTGGAACAAGAACAGCTCCTCACTGGCCGTGGAAGGGTCAAAATTCAGGTTGCAGTAACCTGGGGAAGGGGTGGTGGTGGGAGGGAGGGGAGCCAGGGTCAGTGCCTCCAGGGCAGAGGAAGAGGGGTGCTAAGTTTTATGGCATTGTAGAGAGGTCCCAGTATGCTGCCATGCCAGGCTCCTAAGTGTCCCCTCTACCCATCCTTTTAGGTCCCTCCAACTTTGGCAGAAGCATGAGTTGGTCCCCAATTCAACATTTCCACTTTGGGAGAGACTGGGACCAGGAGTTCCTCTTCCCCTCCCACCAGATCCTAACATAATCTCCCTTTCAGGACAAGGCTGAGTGGGACTGAGGCAGATTGAAGGGCTCCTGGAGGAGGTAACCCAGAGAGGGACAGCAAAGACAATACAACCTTGACCCTCAAGATCTCAGAGAAGCCCCCAGCCCAGCCTGGGAGAGGGTTGACAGGAACACCAAATGGATGGAGGGCTTGTGTCTGAGGAATAAATAGACAGAGCCCATTCAAGCTGACTTGTAAAGTCCCAGGGAGGTTGGCAGGCACACAGCTGAGAGCAAAGGTCATGGCACAGAGTCAACTCTGGGGTACGATGCGACAGGGTCTCTTCCCCTTCTAAACAGGGCTTGGGCCCAGGCCAAGTCTTTCTAAGGTCATGCAAGAAAGAATAGGCATTTCCCTGGAGGCCCTGGCCTGAATGCCAGGGGCCCTTCTCTTTTCCTTCCCCCCTGAGGCTGAACCCAGTTCCAAGGACTCACTCTGGAGAAGTGTTTTCCTGTCCGCAGTCGGGGGTAGCACCTCGTATGAGTTCATCCTAATGCCTGAGGGAGATGGAGGGGCTTTGCTGAGACCCTTCTCACAGCCCAGCATCCTTTTGGAGAGAGGTGTGGGCGTCCTGGAGGCTGCGTCACCTGAGAAAGGTGCACACAGGCAGACAGGACTCCACAACCACACACTATGGGGCAGGTTCCACCCTGGGGGATATGGGCCCCAGGCCCAAAAGACTGACCCTTCAGGAGAAGCTGGTTGACGAAGCTGAGACCTATATCCACCAGCTGGGTGCGGAGCTCGGCCAGGGTCTCGGGCAGCTGGAGGAAGCTCTGTGTCTCCTCACAGTTGGTGCCCATCAGGGGCTCCACACAGTCAGGGAAGTGCTTCAGCCTGGGGAAATCCTGGCATGCAGGGAGGATAGGTTAATAGCACTATTAGTGAGGGCCCAAGTTGATGCCAGGGGCTCCAATTTATGCCAGAAGCCAAGTAATCTTCAGAACCATTGGCAGGTAGAGAAGTTGCCCATTTTCAAACATGGACAGCTATTTCCATAGTTCCTGCAATTGTTTGTCCATCCTAGGTTAGGGCTCTTGCCAAAGGCCTAGCCATTGTAGCTTAGAGTATTAAGTGAAGTAGATTTTTAGAAGCGAGGACTGGGGGCATGGCTCAGGTGGTAGAGTGCCTGAGTTCAAATCCCAGTACCACGACCTAGAAATCTTCCCAGGGGTGTGACAGCAACTTAAGAAAGGAGATCTGGGATAGGAAGTCCCCAGCACTGGGTTTGGGACCCCACCATATGTAAGGCTTTTGCACCTCCAGTCAGGTAATCCTGCCTGGTACTCCTCTCCCTGCTCGTGTAGCAGCACCGGACCAGGACTGGGGGGGAAAAGAGGTTTCAGTATATAGCTTGTCCAGGTCTCACTTTCAGTCCTGTATGGGGAGCCTGGAGAAACAGACTGTGTCACATGCCTAGGATCCTGGGGTGCACCCTGTTGATCTCTGTTCCAGGAAACTGAAGGTGGGAAAGAGGGCAAGGCTGAGCTTTGTGGTACAGCAAGAAGCTGGGGTGTTGGTGTGAGCTCAGGATGATGATGACCTGGGGTCCCTGAGGAAGGGAATAGACAAAGTGATGCACGCCCCCCCCGCCCAACCCATAACTGATCACTTTGTCCAAGCTCTGGGTACATCTATACATGGGTAGAAGGGATGCAGAAGTTAAAACAGAGCCTGGGCTAGAGAGGGGTCTTGCCTGCAGGAATCGCTCATCACTCCGGTTGGCGAGTAGAGTGTGAAGCCAGACACTGTCCCCCTCCAGCTTCAGGAGCCGATTGTGGCTCTGCTGGATGGAGCTGTCCAGTTTCCCCAGGGCAGCAGCCTCCTCCTTCTCCACAAAATCCAAGACCTTTATCTGCAGCTGTTTGACCTCCTGGATGATCTCTGAGAAGCAGGTGTTCACTTCATCTCGCACTGTTTGGATCAGTTTCTGGGATGGGGGCATAGAGGAGTCATTCCTAAGCCCTACTCCTGTAGGTCCATTGTCACGGCCCAGAGCCAGCCTAGGCACACTGTCTCTGTCGACCTGTCCCTTTCCCTACCAGCCCCTCCAGGTCGGGGAGTGGGGTGGAGGTGGGTCCACCTTACCGAGAGAAAGGCTACCCGCCCCCGGTGCTTCTGGCTATTTGAGGCAATGATCAGCATCTGATTCTCCACATTGGCCTGGACCTTCCGCACTTCTATCTGGGTTGGGGGGAGTGGGGAGGAAAAGGGTACCCTGACTCAGACAGGGGGCCTCAGAGAAGCCCTGGTCCAGAGGGAAGGCAGGTACATCTGTCCAAATCCAGAAGAGATGCACCTCTTCCATTCATCTGCCTGGCTTCAATAAAAATGAGCAAGACCAAGGTTGGGGCAGGGTCCACTCCTCTGCTCCTGGTCTGAGATCCTGTCCCCCCATTTGTAAGAATCTGGTTCTTTGCTCCTAACAGTGATGACTACGGGGTTTCAGGCCACAAGAAGGTCCTGGGAAGAGTTCAATAACTTGAGATACATAAGCTTCTGGGCTCCACCTCTTCCAGCCACTGCATTTTCATTGTTAGAATACAGTACGGAACTAGTGGCTGTCCACGAACTGTTGTTGGTACTGAAAATCAAAGTACTGCTTCACTTTTTAAGAAGGTCTTGTGCTGGGCACTGGTGGTTCACACCTGTAAGTCCTAAGCTACTCAGGAGGCAGAGATCAGGAGGATCGTGGTTTGAAGCCAGCCCTGGAACAAATAGTTCAGGAGACCCTATCTCAAAAAAAACCAAAACAAAACAAAACCAAAAAACCTATCACAATAAAGGGCTGGTGGAGTGGCTCAAGCTCCACCAGCTTAGCAAGTGTGCGGCCTTGAGTTCAAACCCCAGTGCCATGAAAAATAAAAAAGTCTTGCAATGAAAAAGTGTCAGCCAAACTAACTTCTTGTCTTTATCACAGACTACTGCCTGGTGATTGTTAGAAGAATAACACCGTTACAGAATACGCCTGACAGGGTATCTCAAATATAAGGATTTCACTATAAATAAAGCTATTCTAATATTTTTTTTAAGAAATTGAACGTAGAACGAAAGAGTGAGAGAGGATTCACTCCAACCTTAACCTGAAATGTGTTTGTTATTTATTTTTTTTCTTTTGAGACAGGATCTCCTTATGTAGCTGCGACGCTGGCTGACTCACCATCCTCTGCATCAGCACAAGCTGAGTAGCTGGAATTCAGGCGTTTGCTGCCCTCATGGCGAAGTTTTGTTGTATATTTGTAGTTTGATAATGTCGACATGGATTTCTTTTTTTTTTTTTTTCTTTTTTCTTTTATTATTCATATGTGCATACAAGGCTTGGTTCATTTCTCCCCCCTGCCCACCCCCTCCTTACC